TTTTTTTTTTTTTTTTTTTTCGTAACAATAAATAAAGCTAATAAAAACATATATATCAATCAAAACAGGCTAGCAGACTAACCAATTAACCTACAGAATTGGGCTTTAAAGTTCACCCTATTACAGGGACCGGATCTCCGGACCAATGAACCCATTTAACCTTTAATTACAAAACAATTTTTTTTTTTCTCCAGATTACAATAATATAAACTCTACAGATGGAATTTGGAAACTTTTCCACTCCTAAGCGGCCACAAGTCACCCCAAAGAGATCGACGGGCCTGATGATGCAGATCAGGGTTCTCACTCTGTGTAACCACCACACGGTCAAACGAGCCTTGTGTGCCCTCGTCATTTGTGGCTCGGCACACATCCATCTCGACTCGTCTTCCCCTCCTAAAGGGCATGTAAATAATCCTTCCCCACCCACTCCCCAGATCAGCTCTCGAGCTTTCATCTGTTTCATCATCATTATAATCGCCAAAATCGCCATTTTCTGGTTCTTGATCTGCATTATCACCATCATCGTTCTTTGTGGCTGTAATTTCCTCTTCAGTATCAAATTGGCTATCTGAAAAATAGTGCAAAAATGTCACTTCAACATGATTTGCATTTGATTTAGTTCGCATTAGGGAATTTGTATACTCGAACAACACATTACCCATATCAATCTCCAAGTCTTCCGGTGCTCTCTTAGCTTGTACCTCTTTCAACGTGTCGAACTTCATACCATCAAGTGGCCAAGGCTCTCTGGTCAAAAAGTGAACAAGATATCTCAACTAGCGTGTGCTTAAACAAAGATTATAACTAGAAAAGAAAATTCACCAACAGCATTATATTGAGAGGGGAGAGAGAAGTGAAATACTCAAATGCAAGATGATATAATCCGAATAAAAATTGTACGAGGGGATTAGGGTCTCTACAGTTTTTATTTAGTAAAACTGAAACTGAGACGGTGTCTCTAATAGCTCAAGATTGAAGATATATATATATATATATATATATTTGGTGTGTGAGTAAATGTCCATCTTACCCTTAATGAAGGTATAAATTTGACTTTCTTATTAGCCATAAAATCGTCCCATCTAATGGCTATGATTTATTCTTATTTCTTTCCTAGGGCACCATTCTCACCGGAGTGCGACCCTATATATATATATAGTCCTTTTTAAAAGGGCGTTCTTACAGAAGAATCAAATTCATAACATATGAATCATATCATAACGTGAAAATGCGACACTAACATAATAGCATGGCCATAGATAATATATTACTTGAGAACGGGCAATTAATTTGATTCGACTCATCAATATGTACATGGTTTGAGTATGATAGCTAGTTAGCTACAAACCTTGGTCTTGTGCCCCTTCTGAAAGCTACATAACAAAACTTTTCATCTTCAAAGCCACGTAATGGACCCTTGGACCGCTGCAAAACATTTACAACAATCACATATCACAGGTACTTTTCATCTAGAAATAAATACATAAAATTGCAGAGAGGCAGCAGAAAAGAAGTTATAAATGAGGATAAGAACATGAAAAGCAGCACAAATAGTTGTCCATTTTCATTTGAAGCAGAGAATTAGTATATTTGAGATTAGATATACTAGAAAAGCCGGCTAATTATCTATATAACCCTGAGGAAAAAAAAATTCTGGATATTATGAACATTTCAGAATAATGCAAATCTGGAAAGAGAAGCAACAATCTTGAAAGAATACAATTGTATCATGATCGAGTATCATTTACTCACTAAGCGAGTTCAGGTTGCATCACAAAAAAAAAAAA